GGACAGCCCAGGGAGCACAGGGCGGGCACGGACAGCCCAGAGTGCACAGGGCGGGCACGGACAGCCCAGGGTGCACAGGGCGGGCACGGACAGACTAGGGTGTACAGGGCGGGCACGGACAGCCCAGAGGAGCAGGAGGAACAGTGTTCCATGCTGCTTCTCTAGAAAGCCTGTCCTCACGCCGGGCACTGGTGGGAGCCAGTTGGGAGAGTGGGTGCTGGGAAAGCCAGACACGCTCCTCGGCCCCTTCCCTGGCTTCCCACTTGCCAAAGCCCCAGCCCAAGCCCCAGCCAGAGAAGGGGTGAAGATTACATTATGATCAAAGCTGTTATATCACAGGAGCCATTCTAAGTCTAAGTGGAGACGGTGTGCAGTTTCCACCACTAACCATGGGACTTTTTGATAACTGTTTTCAGAAAAATCACAGAACGGTCTAAATTTTCTTCCAGGGCATCCTCTAGTGATGAGATTTTAGAGGCACAGCTCAAGTCAGATTTTGCTTTTTGATCTTGTCTCAAGCTCGTGCAAGGAGCTGGCTATAATCTACAGCTATATTTTAGCTCTGACATTCTAGTACTTTATCTGGACAGGTCTTAGCTGCACTAAGTATGAATCATATTTTGTTAAAAAAAGGAAGGAAGGAAGAAAATTAACATAATATTAATAAAATGTTTTAAAGTGATGGGTTTGAGAGAGATTTGTCTTAACCTAAGTCAATTTGGCTTCATTTTTATGCAAAAGAAAAAAAGATTGTGACTAAGCTAAAGTACTAAAGGAATAACAGTTATAAGTATCAGGCACAAAAATTTACCCAGCTGCATTTTTAGATTAAATTCAATGTCATACAAAGTTCATATTCTTATAACCCCTAAAGCTGCCAGTTTCTGTCAGGATTCTCTCTGGAAAATATTTTCGAACGAGCCTAAAAGTCTCAGTGATTCAAATCAATCACTTTTATAGCTCCATGTACTGACTTCTGTACCAAATGGCATTATGTTAAAGCTATAAACTGCCCCAAAGCAAATGATACATGCCATTTAAATAAATGAGCTCTTGAAAACAAATTTCAAAGGCATCCAAAATCCTGTTTGATATGTATTTTTTAGGTTGCCTCCATATTCCCATTTTTTTGTTTGTTTTTGAAACAGTCTTGCCTGTTTTTCAGGCAAGATCAACTCCTGGGTTCAGGTGATGCTCCGGCTTCAGTCTCCGAGGAGCTGAGACTACAGACGCCCACCACCATGCCTGGCTACTCCTAGTATTTTTATAAAAAATTAAAAAACAGGGCAGTGCCTGTGGCTCAAAGGAGTAAGGTGCCAGCCCCATATGCCGAGGTGGTGGGTTCAAACCCAGCCCTGGCCAAAAACTGCAAAAAGGTAAAAAAACAAAAAACAAACAAGCACCTCCCACATTAAGCTACACTAGAGTCTCCCGATACTCTCCTCTGGTCTATTCCGCCTCCCATTCGCATTTCCATTCTGACACGTTCCACGCACACATCCAGGGATGCATCACAGCGGTGAACCCTTCCCCAGATCCAGGCAGGAAACTGCCTCCCAACCCGGGAAGGCGTCAGTGACCACAGACAAAGTGCACTGGTTAAGCTACACGCGCTGGCATGAGGTGTCCCCACCACATGGTCTGCATGAGGAGCACCGCCTGCACCTGCTGTCACTCTGCTCTCCTGCAGAGGAGCCCGAAGACTGGAGCAGACATAAAAATAAAGCAGATGGCTTCCACATGCACTATACAACCTCTCTGCACCATCCCACAGAAAGACCTCTCTCGGACAAAGTGTTTTAATGGTGTCCGATCGACGCTGACACTGTTCTGCCCACCCTCACTGCTGATTCTCCCCTCGCCATTTTCCCCGAGGACCCTGCGTGCACTAGGCCTTGTTCTAGCAAGGAGCCGTCCAGGGCTCAGCAGGAGGACTGACGGCTAAAGTTCAGGGCATCTGGTCTCCAACCACACATCCAGGGCAAGTCCCCTTTGCCTCTCTGGGTATCAGCTTAATAGAAGCAAGAAGTTAGGCTTGCAGGATTGTTGTGCACTTTGTGGGATGAGGGGTCCAATTACTCACTAAGCACCCACTATCTAGGTCTGCACCGCACGCGTGTCAGTGCAGCCTGAACACCCACACTCA